TTTATCTTCAATGAGAAGGAAGATGCTAACGCTGGTTCAAAGCGTCGGACTAAGTAGATTGGTCTGCTCTGTGCTTCCTGCAAAGGCCTACTGGTACCTCCCTGGACACGCTTCAGAAATAGAATCACAAAAATGCCCCGAGCAGTTTGCATTCTGGGTCAAAATGAGAAATTCAGGCCGTACCCAGTGAGGTCAAGGGTTATACTAGCGGAAGCTCTGAGGACAGGGAATTCCAAACGGATTCCTTGGATTCCAAACCTGACATGTTGGGATTTAAAGGATTATCTGGTATAAAACCAGACCCCTTGGAAGGGCTTCTGGGATAGGAATGGGAGGTCTTGGCGAAGCTAAGTGTCCACCTGAGGCCAAAGCATTTGGGCGAAATGTAAGAAGTCAACCTTGTTCAACACACTTCATTGGATTTTATGGTTATTTCTGGCATTTTCTAGAAGAGTATTACCGGTCAGCCTCTCCATTACTGCTCTCGTCTCAGCAATATTATGGAAGGAAGTCTGGGTTTTGTTTTCTGAAGTCATATGGGGATTGTTTATGACATCAACTTGAATGTCAGTTGGCTCTTTGTAAATATTGAAAAAACTCTTCCAATGGCCTTTTTCCTACTCTCAAGCTAAGGCTAATCAATAAAGGTGTTTGATTAGCCTCTTGAAACCTATTATTCAAATCTGCCTTGAATGACTAAACTGATAAATTGAATAAAATTAATGGCCGGAGGTGAGGAACTCGTGTGCATCACTGCAGTTTAATCTGCTGGTTCTCTCAAGCCACACCGTTGACTCTGGAGGCGTGACAGACACCAGACACCACAGGAGCGAGGTTTGTCTCAGAGCAGAACTCAGGAGGGCTGAATCAACACTGTCTTAGGCAAGGCAATCATGGGCTAAATTTGAAGCAATTTGTTGTTTCTTTTGATTTTAGATCGTATTTCTGTATTTTATGTGGACTTTACAGACGTGTGTATTATGTTCCTGATGATCCTTTCTGAACTCACTGCTACATAAAGAGTTGCTCTTTGTTCATTGTCCTACATTCTTGATCCATGTTTAAGATCAAGAAGGCACCTGAGCTTGAGAGACCCTTACGATGCAGAACTACAAAGCATCCACAATTAAACTCAGCCCAAGTTCCAGTCTCGCACTGGAACTTTGGGCATCGATCTGAGTGCCCTCAATTAAAAGTAGCATTTAGTAACATTTAGCATTCTGAGGAATCACAGCAAGGATGATTTTTGAGATCTGGAAATAGAACCAAGAAGAAGATAGCATGAAACCAGGGTTATTTCTTCTTGAAGGAAGACGATTCATGGTAGACTGAAAGGCTGTCTTCAAATACATGTGGAGTTGGTTATTACTCTTGGGGCAGTGACTTACTGTCTTTTAATAGACATGGTGGATAAAATCAGGAAAAACTGGTTTAAACTATAACAGAAGAGGTTAGGTTAGATGGGAAGAAAGATTTTCTGACAGGAAATGCAAAGTGAACATGAAGAAAATGTGTGTATTTCATTTCTCTAGTGAAAGTCTGGACATTTGCTGGACATTGGATGGAATAGACTTATCCATTGGTGATGATCCAAAGCTGAGCCTTGCTCTCAAGACCCTGAGATTTTATGGTTCTTTTTTTTTTTTTTTTTTAGATTTTATTTATTTATTCATGAGAGACACAGAGAGAGGCAGAGACACAGGCAGAAGGAGAAGCAGGCTCCCTGCAGGGAGCCCGATGTGGGACTCGATCCCAGGACCCCGGGATCACGCCCTGAGCCAAAGGCAGATGCTCAACCACTGAGCTACCCAGCTGCCCCATGTTTTATGGTTCACTGTTGAACTTTGTACTTTTAGAATGTCACTTTTGGGATGATGTCTTCTTGGAAGTAAGAATACTGTTCTCAACTTAATTCTTAGAAAATAGTCACTGTGTTCCATTACTGAATTATTTATACCTGTGCTGATAGTGAAATTGATATTTAAGAAAATGCTATGTTCTCAGCAGATATTTAAGATTCCAGACTCAGGGTGATATATCTTGAAGCTGCTAGATGAGCAGGGCTTTTACGCTTGTTTTCTCCTCACTTGCGATGCCTTGGTCTTCGAATCCTTGTTCTAAGAGATGTTTTCTTTCTAAGACAGAATATAACCTTATTAAGAAGACCTCAGATTCTATAGGTTGGTGTAGGGGGACCTCTGAGGAAAGAGCCCTGGTTTCTTTTGGCCCTCAGGTATCACCACCTAGTGAGTTTTTATGACTTATGCCCTGATGTTCAAAGCCAAACCTCTTCAATAAAAGGAGGTGAATATCTTACTTACAAAATAAATAATATAAAATATAAAACTGTCATTATTTTGGCTTTCAGTATATATTGTTCTTCTTTCCATAACACACTTAACCTCTACAATGAACTTTATTTTTTAAAAAAACAAAAAAAAAAGGAAAAACCTGATGAAATACATTATGATTCTAAACTTCTCACATGGTACCTTGAGAAAACTTATTCTTCCATCAAATAGAGATTAACATTTAATAATTTCTGAAAAACCTGTCTACTTACCTGTAAAGTACCAAAGTAAATTTCTGCATGTTATGGTGTCTTCCATTTGCTTAATGCTTTTAAAATGCATTGAAATATAAACATTTATTTAAAATACACATCTTGAAACTTAATTGGAAATAAGATTGGGTTGCTTCCAAACATAATGAACACACCATCTAAATCATTACAAATCTATTGTGATGACAAAGACAATTGTTATGTGAGGTAATCTATTTTAAAGCTCTCAGCCAAGTTACCCACAAAGTGGAGTAAAGACATTTAAGAATTAGTTTCATCTTAAAAAAAAAAAAAAAAGAATTAGTTTGATCTTCAACAAAGACGCCAAGAACACACAACAGAGAAAGGACATTCTTTCAATAAATGGCATTGGGAAAACTGGTTATCCACTTGCAAAAGACTGAAATTGCACCCTTCTCTTACTTTCCTTACCTACTTCCCTTCCTTCGTCCATATTAAAAAAAAAATCAACTCAAAATGGATTAAGACTTAAATGTAAGATCTGAAACTGCAAATCTAAGAATTTGCAGAAAGGAAAAAAGCGTAAGGAAATAGTTTCATAACATTGGTCTGGGCGGGGATATTTTGGTTATTACCCAAAAGCAAGGGCAACAAAAACAAAAATAAACAAATGAAGTTACAGCAAACTAAACAGCGTTTTCCCAGCGAAGGAAACAATCAACAGAAGGAAGAGACCACCCGGGAATGGAAGAAGATCTTTGTAAACCATGTATCTGTTAAGAGGTTAATATCCAAAATCACAAGTAGCTCAAACAAGTCAATAGAAAGAAAATAAATAACCTGATTAAAGAATGGAGAAAGGGGCAGCTCCAGTGGCTCAGCGGTTTAGCGCCGCCTTCAGCTCAGGGCGTGATCCTGGAGACCCGGGATCGAGTCCCACGTCGGGCTCCCGGTGCATGGAGCCTGCTTCTCCCTCTGCCTGTGTCTCTGCCTCTCTCTCTCTCTCTGTATCTCTCATGAATAAATCAATAAAATCTTAAAAAAAATGGAGAAAGGACCTGAACAGATATTTCTTCAAGGAAGACATGTAGATAGCCAACGGGCATGCAAAAAGATGCTCAACATTGTTAATCATCAGAGAGCTGCAAATCCAAACCGTAGGAGATCACCTCGCCTTGATTAGAGTGACTGTTACCGAAGAGACAATAGTGTTGGTGAAAGTGTGGAGGAAACGGAGCCCTGTTGGTGGGACTGCAGACCGTGTGGCCACCACGGCGCTTTCTCGAGTAATGGCAGGGAGAGCTCCTTTATGTGCCCGCAGGCCCGCTCTGGTATGTTTTCAAAGGAGGTGAAATCAGTGTCTTGACGAGATGCCTGCTGTCCCGAGTTCGTGGCAGCCTCATTCACTGCAGCCAAGATGCGTGGCCACCGACAGATGAGCGGATAAGAAAATGTGGGATATACGTGCATGCGTGTGTGTGTGTGCGTGTGTGCGCGCGATGGAACACGTTCAGTTATAAGAAAGGAAGAAATCCTGTCGTCCGTGATATCCTGGACGAACCCGGGTTCGTGTTCACCGAAACAAGCCCGGCATAGAAAGCCCAATCCTGCGCCATCTGACTGGCATGTGGGATCTGAAATGTCAAAGTCACGGAGGCCCGTCGGGGAGGACGGTGGTCATGGGGGGGGGGGCAAGGGGGAGGATGGGGAGAGGTTGGGTGAGGAGCACGAAGGCGCAGCTGTGCGTGTCTGGAGGCTGCCGTTGGCGCCACTGAGTGCAGGCCGTGACCCTGGGGTGAGTCCTGGAGACCTGCTGGGAGCAGACGTGAGGAGCTGTGGGCCCGCGCTGTGGCCACCATGTGAGGCGGTGACACGTTGGTGGGTCGGTGGGCTCGACGGCAGCAGCCACCCCGCCACGACCCGTATCACATCCCTGTGGTGCGCCTTCGGGGTGGACGATTTTTGCTCCGAAGTGGACTGAGAATCAGTCCTGTGTGGCTTCCCCACCGTCGCCCACACCGTGTCCTCCTCTCCTTCCCTCTTCTCTTCCTCTCTTGTCATCATGTTGCCATAGTTGTGACAGGGAACTTGGCTGTAGTTTTTAAAGTAAACTCTTCCACTGTTTTTAACCCTTACTTTTGCCTCATGAAGGAACATTTTATCGTGTTCTCAAAGGAGTTACGTATGTCTTCTATATGATTTTTCTGCCTCATGACTCCAAAAAAAGGAATCATGTTTTTTGAACTCTTATCTCTCCCCCCTAATATCAATAAGCTGTGTTTTCGATGCACACGTTTCTTTGTTCTCAGATGGGGTAAATGGAGTTTTTGGATGAGATCATTCTCACGCCGGTGAGAATTTTTTCATTTGTTCAGAGTTACCATCATTTGTAAACCCTGCCATCTAATTTCCAGTGTCTGTGCAGAATGATTTAGCTGATCAAGTTCTGTTTTTCTCTGTCCTTTATTTGTTCTAGATACATTTCATATTGCTTTTCAGTCGACAGGGGAAATTACGGCTGCAGAAATGGTACACGACGCTCCCTGACAAAGAAAGGAAAAAGATCACCCGGGAGATTGTTCAGATTATCCTCTCTCGTGGTCAGAGGACGAGCAGTTTTGTTGACTGGAAGGAGCTCAAACTCGTTTATAAAAGGTGTGAGTAACTTTATGAGAACGGTCTTTCTCATCATTGCTTTGGGCTGTTTAATCTGAATGTTTTCAGCTACAACACCCAATTCTGTCTCTTACTGAAGTCTTTGGAGTCTGGACTCCAAATACTTGTACCAATAGACTAACAGAAAAGAGGTCTCATTCGCCAAAAGGCTTTCCACGTGCCAGGATGGATTCTATGTGTGGATTACGTACAAGTGCATCCAAGGCATTGCTTCTAGGCCCTTCTAATGACTGTGGATGACGTAGCAAGTGAGACACCACAGTGCAGCTCTTGGGCAGCGTGCTCGCTGGTCAGGCAAACAAGACCTTATGCGGTAGTGACACCTGCTGTGGGGAGAACGCAGGCACCTGCGGGACTCAGTCCAGTAACTAGTTGAGCTTCTGCCTTCAGCTCTGGTCATCATCCCACAGTCCTGAGATTCAGGCCTGGGTCTGAGCGGGGGCCCAGCCTGCCACTCCCCCTGCCTGTGCTCTCTGTCAAATAAATAAATAATTTTTAAAAAAAAAATGCAGGATAAAATGCTGGAGACATGGGCAGCTCTTACCATTGCTATTATTACCCATATTTGTAGAGGTGGCAACCGAAGCCACAGAGAGTTTCTAAGTGGGCAGTAGCTAAATGGCAGTTGGGAGAGCCAGGATTCAAATCCATGTTCTTCTGGCTTTTTTAATTTTTATTTTTTTAAAGATTTCATTTATTTGAGAAAGAGAGAGCACGTGAGTGGGAGGTGGGGGGCAGAGGGAGAGGGGAAGCCGACTCCCTGCTGAGCAGGACCCCCGAGATCATGATTGGAGCCAAAGGCAGATGCTTTACTATGGAGCCACCCAGGCACCCTTCCTTCTGGATTTAAAGCCTATATAATGTCTCATGATTGCAGCGGCTTGCCGTCGCAAGACGGGACTGGTGAGCATCCTCAGTTTATGGGTAAGGAAACCGAGGCCCGGAGACATAGGGCAGTCCCCCCAAAAAGCCCCACATAACTGATGTCTAAGGCAGGACCCGAACCTGCCGAGCTGGCCCTGCACTCCGCATCCTGCTGTGGCTCCCACGTGAGGACGCGCACTGGGAAGGCTCCTGCCGAGGCCGTTTGTAAGACCTAAGAGGGAGGAGCAGAGGCAGCCTGGCAGGTGGTATTTAACAGAGTAAATGGCCAGGAAGTGCCTGGGCAAAGCTGCTTCTGCTGGGCCCAACGCTTTCAGTACTAGCGTCTGGGGAGACGTTGGCAAGGGCCCCTTAGGACCAGGCGCCCGGGGGACAGAAGGCGAAGGCCCAGGAAGCACTTGTCAACAAGAAGCTTGTCCCTGCTGCTCTCCACCTGCTGGGATTTTCAGACTTGGAGCTTCTCTGTGATGTAAAGCGTTGTGTAAAGACTGGGCCTGTGCTGCCCCCCCCCCCCCCCACTGCAGCTCCTGGAAGCTACTGCAGCTCCCAGCAGCTCCGCAGCTCCGGGTGCACGGTGGGGAGGACGTGAGCAAGGCAGCCTCAGCATCTGCCCGGGCAGCCCGGCCTGCTTGGAAGCCGAGGAGCGCTGGCTGCTCGGAGGGAGAAGCGCAGGCGAGCGGAGTGAGGCGCCCGGTGTGGTTAGGGGCGTTGGAGATTTCCCAGAAGACGTGGCCTCCCAGCTCCGAGCCGGGACGGGAGGCGTGGACCGGCTGGAGCCATGGGGTGGAGTATCCTGGGTAGCGGAGGCCTCAGGAGGATGGGCCGCTTGGGCCGAGCGTGGGACACAGATGTGTGGGTGCAGCACAGTGTGAAGCGAAAGCCGTGGTGGGGGGGTGAAGTGGAGAAAGGACAGTCGCAAGCAGGAGAGGGGCGTGAGCAGACCCTCCTATTGCTGCGGGCCAGGGCCCTGTCTCACCGTGCGGTCTCGGAGGACAATATTTCAGGTAATTAACAGAAATAACCCAATGGCCACCATATTTTCATGCATTCGACTTAACATTGGGAGGCTGTGGAGGTGACAAATGATGATTTCATTCTCGGATGCTGGTGGGGAGAGTCCCTGGGGAAGAGGTAACTCTGCATAGGTGCTGTGGAAAACACCCACTTCAGGTTAGTTGATGTACCGTCAAATTTTACTTTTCTTTCTTCATTTTTTTTTCTTTTCAAGGTATGCCAGTTTGTATTTTTGCTGTGCAGTAGAAAATCAGGACAACGAGCTCCTGACACTAGAGATTGTGCATCGTTACGTGGAGTTGCTCGACAAATACTTTGGAAATGTAAGTGTCTTTCAGGTGTATTTAGAATCAGTCCTTGTTTCAGCTCTTACGTCAGTTCTGTCCTTATCACAACCTTTCTCTCTCTCTCTCTGTCATGTCTAAAATAAGCATTTGTGCAGGGATCAGAATATGAGACCTTCTTCCACTTCCCATAATTCTTTGTAAACAAAGGATCCAAAGTTTTCAAGAGGCAGGCCGTGTCCCCTCCATCTTCAGACCACAACCACACTAGAGGCCTCATTTAATGATCAAGAATTTAATTGTGAAGGATTCCTGTTTTTTTTTTTTTTAAGATGTTATTTATTTGACAGAGAGATAGAGTCAGAGAACACCAGCAAGGGAGGGGTGAGGCAGAGGGAGAAGCAGGCCGTCCACTGAGCAGGGAGCCCGATGCGGGCCTCGACCCCAGGACCCAGGGATCATGACCTGAGCTTACCTGCCTGAGCCCCCCAGATGCCCCAATTGTGAAGGCTTCCTCCTCATTCTTCATTGTGTATCATCTCTTTTCTATTTTTATTTTTTAATCTTCCCTCTGGATTCTTTACTAAGGTTATTTAATATTATTTATACATTTAAAAAATGCCAAACAAATAAACAAGAATACCAAAATCCCTTTCTTTCCTATTGGTATTTAATCTCCATGCATTTAGTGCCAAGTAATATCCTGTATGAGGTGCCGCCATCCTTAGAACCCACGCACTGTGGCAGCTTACAGCTCAGCCTCCAAGGAAATCATAGTTCCCAGTGGCCCCTTCCTCATGGTCAACACCAGTCTTTACCCACCTCACCTCTCTGCATCACTGGTCCTTGCTTGTCAGTGATCCTCTTTATTATTTTTTTGCCACATCGCTGGGTTCTGCTGATTCTCAGCCTGTTTCTAAAGGCCTCTCCTTGGTTTCTGTCCCGAACTCCCTTCCTCCCCCCACCCCTCCTACTCTCCTTGGGTGTCTACCTGCCTTCCGCTTCTGGAATCCATGACCAGATGGCTGTCTCTTCCTCTGCAGAGGACGGGCTTCTCCAGGCTTCTCCCAGCCATCTCAGTCTTGACATGTCAAGAACTAAAATCCTCTTCTGCAAACCTGTTCTGTCTTACGATTGAGTTTATTATGTCCCAGGATCCTTCAGTGGTCCTTTCTTTCTTCTTTCTCCACCCTTCACTAAAGGCTGCCTTTATCTATTCAGATGGACTAAAATCCACCCTTTCCCCTCCATTCCCACTAGTACAGGTTTACGTGGTTTCCCTTTGAAATCTCACCTCTGGCTCTTTCTGCCTCTGAGCTCATCTCTGCTACCCTTTCCTGGGTGGTTAGTTACCGTCCTCCTGGTGTGCAGGGACCCAGGTGACAGATGTCCCCAGTCACTTTCCATCATCTAAGATGAATAAAAGCCAAACTTCTAAGCTTTCTAGACTTCAGTCCCAGGCCACGTCTCCAACCTTGTTGCCATGCCCTCTCTTTTTATCCCCGACATGCTCAGCAGTCCAGCCGCATGGAACAGCCCGGTATTACCCTTAACTTGTGCCGGCTTTGTATGACCACCAGACCCCAAGTCTCTCGAGATAATGACCTGGGACTTAGCTGTTTGATTTTTCAACACTTGTGAGCAGCTCTGGGCCAGATTTTAACAAACATTCCAGAAACATGTCATCCAGGCCACAGTCTTCAGAAATAAATCATTGGATTTGGGATGTAATTTCTCTCAGTGATGCTCTCTTTTCTGTTCCCTGGCTCACGGTAGATTTATTTCTATTAAGTGTTGTTGGGAGAGTTCGCTTCCACAAGACTTTATGTGCTCTGTTCCATGGAGTAAGTAGCATTTGCAGTATTGGCCGAGGTGTTATCAGATTTCTTGGAACAGTTTTCACAGGGTGAGTACTTGAAAGGTTTTTGAAGGGATTTTTCTCTCCCTCCCTCCTTTCATCCTATTTCTTCCCCTCCATTTCCCTTCGTCAGTGATGTTAGAAGATGACCTTACACGTTGCTTTGGAGATTTTAGGTCATTGGTCAGTATAGAGAGTGAGACAGCCGGACCATGTTTCTTTCTCTTTCTCTTGATTCTCCGTGTTTATTTTTAGTTTTTAAAGAGAGGTGTGCAGATGTGTAATAGCATGTTTTTGAACTTGAGATTACTCAATTTTATGCTTTCCATTATTCAAATGAAGCCTGACATTTTGAAACCCACTGCAGATGTGGCCTTTTAGAAAGGCCTGAAGGATTTTCCTGAGGCCCAGGCTTTCCTAGGACCTGCCTCTGCCCATAATTTCTGCACTCTGGTTTGGCCTCTTGTGTTTTTCTAGATTTACCCGACTGTGGTAATGTGAATTGGGGTTAAGTTTTGATCTCAATCTTATCTGGACAGATTTTAGCTATTTCAGAACATGTTGCTTTCTTAAGAGAATCTAAATCACCTTCACCAATGCCAAACCTAGTTAAGATATAAGGAGAATCAGAATGAATTCCTATTTCTCCAACATTAATTTTTCATCCTATTTTGGCATACTTCTAGAAGCTCTGTCTTTGCCATGGACCAAAATTTAATTTGCTAAAAAATTCAATGAATCTTTTATTAAACTAAGAACAGCTAAGAGCAATTCAAGGCTATCTGCCCAGTAGGTGTTCAGTTCTTATTAATTAACTGTGATGAGCAAAGCCTACCAGTATTCATGCTCATTGACATCATCTCAGTAATAATATATTTCTCTTTGGCTTTCTTTTTCCCTTGTGTTAATACTGAAGGTTTCCTGGAACTCTGTCCTTAATATTATTGAAGTGAAAACTCTGTACTGAGCTTCTCTTATAACATTGGAAAATATTACCTTTCTACGAGAGAGAAATCAAAATCTCTGTCTTCTAATTTATGCATTTTTGGAGAATTTTTTTAATTCCAGGGAGATTTACAAGGATTAGCTAGTTAATCTTTCAATCTTCAGTCAACAGCATTAACCCCAATTTACAGAGGCTAAGGGGAGGTGCAACAGAGTCTCCCAGTAGATAAAGGTCTGTCTGAGAATTTAGTCGGCTGCCATATTTTCCCAACATAGACTATAGTATGAGTTTTTACAGATGTGCTCAGAGGGCATTGGTGTTCCTATCCCAGAGACATTTGATCTTGATTTAGGAAGTTTTCTTGGAGGAGGAGGAGGCTTCTGAGTCCTACTGGGTCTGGTGTTGACTCACTCACTAACTAGACCCGTGCTTTGGCTCGGAATAGATCTCTAATTTACAGATAAGAAAAATAACACTCAAACAGGCTAATAGAAATATTTACTTTGATAATCTCATGGGGCTGTGGGGAGAATCAAAGAGACTGTGTAATTAATAATACATTACAAACTGCCAATTGCTATGTCATTGTACCATAAACTCTAATTATTTTATGTATGGTCTGATACTTTAACTGTATGTAATTTAAATATTTTATATTTGTTTTTTTTTTAAAGATTTATTTATTTACTCATGAGAGACCCAGAGAGAGGGGCAGAGATACAAGCAGAGGGCGAAGCAGGCTCCCTGTGGGGAGCCCGATGTGGGACTCGATCCCAGGACCCTGGGGTCATGAACTGAGCTGAAGGCAGATGCTCAACCACTGAGCCACCGGGGCACCCCTGTATTTACTTTAGAAGAGAATTTAGTAAGAGAAGGTTCTTAGACTCCATCTGAAAGTATTTAGTTATTCAAATACCAGAAACCATTTTCTACATCACGTGTTCTGCTATAAGACCTGCAAACTGAATTATAGTGAAGCGCAGGCTGAGAGATCCAGGGTATAGATACACAGAAGCAGGAAAAAAAAATCAATAGGCTCATGTGTTGATAAACACGGACACTATTTGTTTTTGCATAATTAGAGGAAACGCAGTCATTTGAGCACGGGGGATACGTTCTTGCTTTACTGGGCCGGTACCCTAGAGGCGGAGCCACAAGTATTTGAGTAACTGGTCTGCATTTGGTCTAAGGAATTCTGGGAGGTGATTCCCATTCTTACTTGCAGATACCCCTTGAGGTTAGGCTCAAAGCAGAACCATAAAAGCAGCATCTTAGAGTTGCTGTATGTGAAATGGTGGCTCATTCATAATACTCTCTGTAATTCCAATAGAAGGTCCATTTCCTCATGATCCGGAGATAGTAAATGTATATCCAGGTTGCCTGTGCGTGTGCGTGTGTGTGTGTGTGTGTGTGTGTGTTGTGTGCACATCCCATGTTACTTGATTCCCATCCCTTGAAACTGGATGCAGTGAAAGAAGGCCCCATGGGTGTCAGCCAGCCCGACTGGTCGCTGCTCTGAGGGGGGGTCAAGATGGTCCTAGAGAACTGGATTTAGGGCCTGCCAGGTTCACCTTGCAGGATTCTGATTGTTGGTCTCTCCCCACGAGGCTCCTGTCTGTCTCGACTCCTGGTCTCCGCCTGCCTCTGAGATTCCTCAGCTCTTGCTACTCTAGCTCCTGACCTCTCGCCTCTTCTGACCTCTGGTAACTGCTTGCTTCTCCTTCCTTCTCTAATAAGCATGGATGTCTGATGTATTGTGTTTCTTTTGGTTTATCTGTACTGTTTAAAAATTGCAAAAGAATGCATTTTTTTTACATATCCTTGTAGACATACATGGTTTTATTTTTACATGGGATTGCATTATGCATATTATTCTGCAACTTTCTTTTTTCCCCCCTCTCCTTACAAATGTATCTTGGAGTAGTTTCCACGACTGTCTATGGAAATCTATGTCATTCTTTCCAACTTCTACGTGGAATTTCCATGTCGTCACGGCAGACAGAGGCAGGCAGACTATTGAGGGAGGATGAAGGTAGCTGTGGACATATACACCTGCTGGTTGTTGATTTACCCACCAGATGGTGCTTTCTAACGAATGAGGAGACCGTGACCTTTGCAGATGAGTTAGATGAGTTTTTCTGAGCTGGCCCTTTACGATAGTGGTATTTACCTAACCGTTTACCTTGTGGATTCTGACCTAACTCCTAACGATATGGAGCAGTTTGCTAAAATGTTGACATCCGTTTTATGTAAAGTGGTAGCACTCTGTAGCATCAGAGAACTGCGGATCTGGGAAGCCATTAGTGCCCAACATCATAGAAACAAGGCCTAAGTGGTGATGACTCATTTATCCTGCGGACGTATATCGCGTCCTCTTGTGTGCTAGATACCAGGCATAGCAAGATGACTAAGATAAGGTCTGTGCCTGAGCTCGCAGTCCTGGGGGAGAGCATGGTAAGTCAGCATATACTCTGGCCCACAAGATGCAAGAGAGACCACAGAGCAAGTGGTGGAAAATCTGAAATGGGGGAAAGGAGGTTTTGGTGGAAACAGCGTGCCCCTGACTTTTGAATTTGACCTTGAAAAATGAGCTTAATTTTACCAGCAGAATAAAGGAGAGGGCATGGGGAGGCCATCCCAGGAATTGCTGGGATGTGCGAAGGGTAAAGAGGTAACATGGTGAGTTAGTGGAGTGTGGTGGTGTAGGCTGAGCGCTGACACAAGGAAGCCAGAGAGCCCATCCAGGCTGGGTGGTGAGACTTCTCTGCGCCAGGCCAAAGAATTACCGCTTTGCCCTGAACATAAGACCTCACACGGGGCAGGCACAAGATCATCACTTCATCAGAGTGTTAGTGGTTGTTGGCCTTGAGTGGGGTCAATGCCATGGCCTTAAGGGGAGAGGGTGCAGGCCTGAGCAATGGTGGTGAATGGGGGGAAGACGGGAAAGGCTGGGTTTCATTTACACCATAGAATCCATAGGAATTGGTGATCAAGCAGAGAGGGATGATGCCGAAGGATGGAAAGGGCTGAAGGGGAGGGGAAATAAGTGGACCCGGGGGATGAATTTGATTGAACCACAGATAGACAGACATTGCAGCTACTAAGCAAAACATCTTTTACTGGGAAAAGAATATGCTTCACTTCACTTTGGCACATGGTGGGTGACTTGGTTGGCCCGAGGAATCTCCAGGCAGAGATGTCTAATGAGCAGGTGAAAGTATTGGACTCGCTCTAGCAGGAGATCAGGGCTAGATGTCTAGGTCTGCTAAGACACCTGCGTGCTAGACACGCTCTAGAGCGTCCATGGGATTGTCTGTAACACATGCGTTGCAAAGAGGAGAGGCTCTCATGAGCAACACCAGTGCTTAAGAAGAAGCTGGGTCTCTGGAATGTAAGCAACATGCAGCAGTGATGTTGGTTTGCTGACTGACGCCCCAAGCACTCCATAAATACATCTTAGCCAAATGCAAAGTACGGGGAGAGAGATCATCTGACAAACCTGAGGAGGAGTCACCGGAGATGCAGGACAAGAGCTGGCGTTGGATGGTATTGCCAATGTTGGGGAGCAAGAGGGAGAGAGAATTTTCAAGAAAAAGATTGGGGAAGGGTATCCAGTGCTGCTTAGAGGTCAAGGTTGGGGAGGGCTAAAAGCTTCCAGTTGACGGTGGAAACCTTCAAGCGGGTGTGGAACAGGAAAGGGAAGTGTTGGGAGTTGAGGGGTAAGTGAGGAGGAAAACACCAGCAGACTGCCTGAGTGGCCTTTGGTCGGGAATTGGAAACAAGGCCTATTTGGATTATGGGGCTGCTCTTGCCACTTGCTTCACTTAAACAGCAAAATCTATCAGACTCTGCTTTTTTTTTTAATTTAGGATTTTATTTATTTATTTATTCATGAGAAATACAGAGAGAGAGGCAGAAACAGAAGCAGGCTCCCTGCAGGAAGCCCGATGCAGGACTCGATCCCAGGACCCTGGGGTCACACCCTGAGCCGAAGGCACCACTGAGCCACCCAGGCACCCCATCTCAGCCTCTGCTTCAAACTGGGACAGTGGTTCTCCCTGGGTGGTCCCCAGGCCCACATCATTAGCATCACCAGGGAACCATTTAGAAGTTTAGACTCTTCGGCCTTCCCCAGACCCACTGAGTCACAAAATTATAGGGCTGGGGCCCAGCAGCGAGTCCCTAAAGGAGCCTTCTGGGTGATTCACCTATGCTCTTGAAGGTTGAGCACCACTGGCTTGTGACATAATTTTGAGAAAAATTAGCACGGTTGAGCTAATTTGCCTTTGAGGAGGAAGCTTCGGAGGGTCCTAACGCTCCGAGCCAAGATTTACAGACAGGACAGCAGGAGGAAGGAGGCGTCGTAGCGGGGACTTGGCTTCCATTTGTGCCGAAGGAAACATGAGCCGAGCTGCCTGATTCCTGTCCCAACTCTCAAACTTCTTGTTGTGAATAAAAAGAATATTATTTAAGGAAATTGTCTGCCTAATGGAATGTGGTTTTACTTTCGCTGAAGCCCTGGGAGTCCCTGCTTCTGTGTCTCTGGCCTCACAGCACCATCTGATGGCCTTGCCTTCGGGGTCCCACGTGGGTGTAAGTGTTGAAAAAGCTTGAGACGCTGACGTACGTTTGCCCCGATAACCCTGCAAGTTTATCGAAATGTTTTGTTTCTGTCCTACCAGGTCTGTGAGCTGGATATTATCTTCAATTTTGAAAAGGCTTACTTTATTCTTGACGAGTTCATAATGGGTGGAGAAATTCAGGAAACGTCCAAAAAGTCTGCTGTGAAAGCCATTGAAGATTCTGATATGTTACAGGAGGTCAGTACACAGTGCTTGTGCCTTGGAGAGAGATGCTGATGGTGGTGGTGATGGTTATATATCGGTTGACACTTACTGAGCGCGTACTCTGGGCAGCATGCAGTTTCTAAGTGACTTAACTGTATTTAAAAAAAAATTGTTTTTAAAGATTTTTATTTATTCATGAGAGACACAGCAAGAGAGGCAGAGACACAGGCAGAGGGAGAAGCAGGATCCCTGCGGGGAGTCCGATGTGAGAGTTGATCCCAGGACCCCAAGGTCACGACCTGAGCCGAAGGGAGATGCCAACCACTGAGCCACCTGGGTGCCCTGTGACTTACCTGTTTTAACTCATTTAATTATCACAGTAGCTCTAAGAGGTGGGTAGCATTTTTACCCTCATTTTGAAGATGAATAAACTGAGACACAGAGAGGTCAAACAGTCCACCTGATGTCACACAGCCAGCAAGTGTGGAATGGAGATATGATGGCAGGACCTTGGGCTCCAGAGTCTTCGCTCCTTCTGTTTGGTTGAGTTTCTTTAGTGAGGTCCCCTCACTGTCACAAAGGTACCAAAAGCTCGGTGCTATGTTTTTCCAGAATTTCATGAAAGGTATGAAAAGATTTTCATTAAAATATCTGTGCTCCCCTGGGAGTGGAGAAGAGGAGGACATCATTATTTCATTTGCGGGAGATATTAGAACTTTATTACTGGAGATGGCATTTATAATTTTAATTAAAATTTCTTGCGCCTCCCGGTGAGGCTGCATGGGTGCTCCTATTTGCAGAAATAAATTGGGAAGACTGTGGCTTGCTTGCCGAGGCATAAATGGGCCCTGAAGCATCCTAGGGGGTCGTGCTCCTGCCTCTGTGATATTTATATAAATCGCAGCAGGTCTTTTGGGCACAGTGCAGATTTGCCTCATGCCCAGTCAGGGAGGTTCCCTGCGATGCCCCGTCACTCCTCCAAGGACACCAGAAGGGGCACGTCCCCTCTGACCCTCGGCCTCCCTGATGAGCGACCCCACCTGCTCCAGCGCAAGCTGAGCTGTACCCCAGCTCCACCACCACTGGGTGCTTCTTCACACAGCATCCTGGGGTTTTTCCACCTGCCTATTTTATTTTTTAAGGATTTTATTTATTTATTCATGAGAGAGAGAGAGAGAGAGGCAGAGACACAGGCAGAGGGAGAAGCAGGCTCCATGCAGGGAGCCCGACGTGGGACTCGATCCGGGTCTCCAGGATCAGGCCCTGGGCCGAAGGCGGGCTAAACCGCTGAGCCACCAGGGCCGCCCTGCCTGCCTATTTTATAGTCTCGGGTCAGGAGATCCCAGAGGATGATAAACTCTCTTTTAAAAATTGGCATTAAAGCCATTCTTCCTGGCCGACCAATGGCTTGCTGCTGCCCGCGCAGGGGGCGCGCAGGCGAACGGACGGACCCAAGGAAGGCCTCTGCCGGGGCGTTTCTTTGCAGAGGTGTTCTCGCCTCGGGCAGTGCTTTCCAACTCTGGTGTTTGCGTGGCTCTCTCCAAATGCGCAGGAAGGGAATTGCACGGGGTCCTTGAGAACTCAGTGGTCTGGAAATTCCACAGAAGAACCTTTCTTAGAATACTTATAATTCTGTCTTCGGGGCCCTTGGCTGTGGAATCTCAGCTTTACGGAAGAAAGGGACTTTTTTTTTTTTTTTTTTTTTTTTTAACCAGGGTCTTTGGCAGTTACAGTAATGAAAGCTTTTTGAACTGGGGCCAAGCACACCTGGGTCATTTTGAATTCCTCCTCTGAAAGAAGTGGGGACTCGTAAAGAGCCTGTGCCGCAGCAGGTGCCGGTGCTCTGAGCTCTGGGGAGCGCGGATTTCAAGGGAGAGCCCCTCTGACGGTGAAACACTAACTGCTGGTTGAGGCGCCCGGTGCGTGAGTGCCAGGTCGCGAGGGGCAGGCCTCGGGGGCCCTCGTGAGCCCCAAGGCCCCAGCATGAGTGGGCCATGTCGTGAGGGCCATGGGGAAGCCGCAGCGCCTGCCAGATGGACACCGCGTCATCAGCACTCTCCTGGGCGCTGGGGCCTCAGCTCGGTCAATGAGTCGATGAACCAGGGTTTAGCGTGAACAGGCACCAGTAATATAATTATGTAAGACAAAAAGAATGACTGCTTTCTCCCCCCCCCCCCGCCCCCGTCCTTGGACCCACGCAACTATCTGTAGCTACAAAAGATTGAAGGAGGCCTTTGTAATATCCGTTTGCTTTTAGCCCCTGGAACTTTCCCGACTCTTACCTAATAAAGGTTTCTTAGAATAAAGAAGGCTGGCCTGTCCTCACATACTTAGTAAGGAGATACGTACATAGTCTTAAATCTCCCAAATGCTTGACAGGTATCCTGAGCGTCCCAGGGCTTGACATGAGTGATGTGGATTAAGAAGAGAACAGTTTAATTGGTTGGGGGGTGACTTTAGGAGGGGCCTTACTTTGAGAGCAACAACCTGTGGACAGAGGAGAAGGGAATAGAGCTGAGCTCACCCTGGGGGCTCAGCGGTTAAGCATCTGTCTTCGGCTCAGGCTTTTTTTTTTTTTTTTTTTTGAATACTCCTACCCTAGTTATTCAATCCATCACTTATCTAGGTGCTGCTTTTTTTTAAATTTTTTTTTTATTTATTTATGATAGTCATACAGAGAGAGAGAGAGAGGCAGAGACACAGGCAGAGGGAGAAGCAGGCTCCATGCACCGGGAGCCTGACGTGGGATTCGATCCCGGGTCTCCAGGATCACGCCCTGGGCCAAAGGCAGGCGCCAAACCACTGCGCCACCCAGGGATCCTTTTTTTTTTTTAATTAAATGAATATATTTTTTTTCTTGGTCATTTAACATTTATCAGCACTGTTTTATTTCCTTTCAGACAAAGATGGCCTCAAGAATACTTAACATGCATGCAAGATCATGGTCTTTTGCCATTCTATACAAAAATTATCTTTACAACAATATATAATCCTCATCAAACACGTAAAGGATAGATCTATAATGAAATTTCCTCTTATATGATTACTCTATTGTTAAGGACAACTGATTTTGGTAAAAGAAAAATCGAGTCCCGCATGGGGCTCCCCACAGGGAACCTGCTTCTCCCTCTGCCTGTGTCTCTGCCTGTGTCTCTGTCTCATGAATAAATAAATAAAATCTTTAAAAAAAAAATGAAGGAGAAGGGACTAGAAACTGAATGGAAAGATGGTGCTGGTTACCTGTGGGGGTTGCAATTCCTGGCTGCACTGCCAGGGGCAACAGAAGAGGCTCCAGCGCAGAATGAGAAGCATGGGTCAAAATGCTACCTCGTTAGCAGGGAACCATAGGCTACCTTGCCTGTGTCTGTGTGGATGGGTGAGAAGCGCCTGGGGGCACCCCAACATCGTCACCCTGAAAAGCACAACCCCTGTTAACAGCCAAGCAACGCCGAGCTGCAGCACAAAGTTGTCGTACAGCCTATGCTGAAGCCACGAGAAATTTGGTGGTGCGAGATGGGTAACAGAAGGGTCCCAGGGACAGATTTGGGTCCTTTTGTGAAAGGCCAGGGCAGGGCTCTTAGGGTCGTGTCAATCTTAAAACTCTGTTTCAACCTTTGAAGTGCCAGCTCAAGGTAATATTAATCTTGGGTGCTGGTGGTTTCTGTGCTTTGAGGAGGAGCACGGTTCAGGGGGAGCAGTCAGGGCGGCGCTTAGACTGAGCCAGGGCCGTGAGGCATGCCGGTGACTAGGGGCCAGTGAGCTGGGAAGCCAGTAGAGTGACAATTCCAGAGCCTTTTGCTGGGCCGAGCCCCTTCCAAGGCTGCAGGCTCGTATGTCAGGTTTGCAAAGGTAGGATATCTCCGTGCAAAGTGGATATAACACGCAATGAATATCTTATAAAGTATGTTATGTAAAATGGAATATCAAAGTCATAAAGTCTTTAGAGTTGGACGCTTCACCGGCTGAGCCACCCGGGCGCCCCTTTGTGTTCCTTTTTTAATGGTATAAAAAACTCTAGATCCCACAAAATAGGTGTGGGCCCCGGGCCAGCGTGATACCCCGGCTAACGCTGAAGACGGCGTCCGTTAAGAGGAGGCAGGGGAAAGGCCGCAGGATGTGGGCTTCTCTTGGCCGGTGCCCATCCAGCAGGTAAAAGAGCTTTAGGAGGAAGTGTGGGTGACTGGGCACTGGTATTGCAGCAGAGGAGCCCTGGAATTCTAAACAGACCTGGTGAGAAACAGTTGAACACCTGGTTTTTAACTTTATTTCGTTTTTGTTTTTGTTTTGATTTTTAACTTTATTATCCTGTGAACAATGTTGCTTAGCCATGGCCTTGCTGTTTGGGCCCTGCCCGTCAATGCCTCCCCTGCCCGGGGCAAGCGAATCCCGCACCCGCGACCCAAGCCTGAGAACGGGCTGTGCATCGCCGATTCCGCGGCTGGCACGGGAGAGGCGGGGCCGTTGCCCGAGGCTGCCCCCTGAACCCTCTTTCTGATTCAGCCCAGGAGCCCGGCGTAATACAAATACCTAAGTTCACAACAGAAAAGAGCGCCAGAGAAAACCCGCTTGTCTTGCACAGTAAAGCGCTTGCAGCATCGCTGTATATTTTGACTTACCTGTAACTGGGAATCTGTCCAAGCATTTTTTTTTTTTTTAAAGTGCTGGGAAAAGATGACGGTCCCGTGGCGTGCTAGCAAACGAGCTAACTGTGGGGATGGAGACAGTTTGCATACTTGGAGGAAAGCCTCAAAATACATGGAGGAGATTCTGGGGAGTCGTGGTCTGTTTACCCTCTGTAGCTTGCCAATAAGCGCACGAAGGGCTCTTGCCCAGAATCTGTATGAGGCGTATGTTACACGAATACAATGGAGATTGCTCTAATACCTGTGCCCGGAGGCGGCTCCACGATCATTTTAGTGGGCACATTTATCTGAGGTCAATGGTCATACACTGGCAGCTGCGGCTCTAGCATTTGTCTTATCAGACATTCTTTTTATGATCAAGCCTGTTGAAAGTTATTTAGTCCTGGCCATATGGTCACGTTTGCAAATCATCCTCAAGCTTTACATCGCCGTTCTCCGCCCGAAAGCAAAGATACGTATGTCCAGATGTGTTTCGGAAACTTCTGTGTGGCAGAAAATAAGTAAGAGAATGCAAAAGGTTTCCCATTCTGCCAGAGGCTGTGGTTTAAGGGGCAATTGTTCTAATTTCCTGCTCTCTTTCAGACAATGGAAGAATATATGAACAAGCCTACGTTTTAGCTGCGCGACGGTTGAAGATGCCCTGTGCCAGCCGCTGCGAGCCTGAACCCTAGCAGCGCCGCACCGGCTCCCTGCAGTCTCCGGCATGATGCCAAAAATAACTCAAAAGGGATTTTTTGTTAACTAGCAGCAAGTTATTTAACATGTTTAGCACTATTACATGTCTGTGTTGTCTGCACACCCCTACTTGGTGTAGCTCTGGGTGTTAAAATAACTGCTGCAGTGACTCCACTGATGGAATATTTGTTCGTGATGTTTGAACTCCACCTGCTATGTCTAAGCTAATTTAAATAAACATGTTGCAGTATGTTTTTTTTTTTGTGGTTGTTGCATTTGATCCTCTACTGACAGCCGAAAACTGGAAAACTGTATCGTAGTAGCCCATGATTTTGAATGTGAAATATATGTCCCACCAATAATTCTTTTCTAAATGTTTAGCTTTTTAAACTGTGTCATAATTCGAAGTCATGCTAATAGTTCAGAGTTCATACCTAATGCTCGGCATTTTTCATATACATTAGTAAAACGTAATTCCAGTCTAGATACAATGTATCTGATTTTAGTGTCCTGAATTCTTTTTTTTTTTTTCAAGGTTGGAGTTAAGGAAAATAACCAAAGATAACAAGGGACTTAAATGGTTTTGCTATCTTGGAAGCTGCTATCTAGTTGAGGTTTTAATTTTTTAATTTTTTACTTTTTAATTGAACGTAAAGGGCATTCCAATAAGGCCATGTTTCCTATAAACTCTATGTATTTATTAAGGATTTGCACCTTCTGGAGATACAGTGTCTATGACTTCCCTTACTATGAAAACAGTATAATGAAGACTAATACCAATAGCAGCAATTCTTATTTTTACTTCAATTTTAATAATTTTTACGGTTCCAGGGACTCGTTACTTGAAAGATTTTGCTTCAACTGTGTTTTAATGTGCATCTCCTATATTTTTCAAATTATTGTTTATTAGACTTGGAGAATTGAATAGTATTACAGCCTATGTGGTAGATGCTCTTCCTTCTTTCTCATTTCTTCATGCCCCCAAATTAACTATTTGCTGCTGACCATTATTATCGTGAATATGTTGTATTCGTGCTTCCTGGAATGAACGTTCTGTCTACAGCAGTAGTAAATGTGATCACGCATTATAGGGAAATAGCTCCTAATACTCGGTCTTGGGTTTCCACTTCCAACGTCCTACCTGTGCCTTTTCATTACCAGTTTTGAGGCCTGATATGATTTCTGTTGAGTTAGGGGTTAGGGGCCCCTCGTGCTTTTCCTATGAGAAGAGTGGGCTCGCTGTTGTATTCTTTCTCTAGATGATCCTATATGGTAGATCTTTAGAGGCCATGAAGGAAAAATGTCTTCTTGGAGGGAAAAACATCCTCTTTGATTCATCTTGCCAGATTTAGGGGAAAATAAGATAAGACCGCAAGAACAGAAGAAAACATGGACCAATTCCTCAACAGAGCCATTGCTAGAAAGAAATAACTCAGATTAGTATATAACAGAATTATTGGGCTTTTAATATCTAATATTTACTCAAATTAATCATGTGATGACAATGATGGCCTCGGATTAAAGTTTAACTGTCATTTTGATCACTTAGGTTTATTTTATGTCTTCAGATGTGTGGTTTTGCTTTTTTTTTTTGTCAATATAGTGGAACTCTTTATTTTTAAAAAGTTTTGTAGAGATGGACTTTATGTAAATCAACACAGTTTCTCTGGTTCTTTTGAAGTTTTCCACCGTTTTGAGGTGAAGGTATTTATTCATGATTCTTTCAAATTGGATAATTCCACCTCGGACCCTGCTGAGCTGTATGTAGGGCTTTTCAGACTCTGTGTCAGTGTCTCACATAGAAAATGAACATAATGATGTAGCACACTGTAAATTTGAGAGATTTGGAGGACTTTTTATGTGAGTCTTGGGGAAAATAATCATTATATTTTCTTTATATTATACAATTGTAATAAAACTACCAAGCAAAAGATAATAAATACTAAATTTGTATAAAACTTACAAATAAAATGTTTTTAAATTTTTTAATGAGGAACTTGAGTGTGTTTTTATGAATATAATTGTTTTTTAATCCAATTATGTGCTTGAAATTGCTACCCATAATTCCTGGTGGAGTCCCTTTAATGTGATCTCTCTCTTTTTTTTTTAAGATTTTATTTATTTATGAGGGACACACAGAGAGAGGCAGAGACACAGGCAGAGGGAGAAGCAGGTTCCCTGTAGAGAGCCGGATGTGGGACTCGATCCCAGGACGCTGGGATCACAACCTGAGATGAAGGCAGATGCTCAACCGCTGAGCCACCCAGGCACCCCTAATGTGATCTCTTTATTTTCCTGATGCTTCGAGCAACTTCACAAGCAGGTGACAGCAAATGAAAGAAGAGTATTTGCTGCTTTGCTCCTATTGACTTCTTTCTCATCATCCACCCACATTTTGATAGTCTGATCTCCTTGCCTGTAGTTAGTGATGCAGTCATTCTTTAAATCTAGTAATTCCTATTCTTTGATGAGCAAATGTAAAATTGGCATTTATTGTGGCTGAATAAGTGAATTTTTACTTTGTTCAAACTTTTTTTTTTTTTTTGCTCAGATCAAGTCTCCTAAAATAATGATAAAGCTTTTCATCAGCTGCTGTTCTTCTAGACCTAATTATTCCTCTCTAGGATTCATATTGTTTGAAACATCACTGAGGAACTGTGTTTACTTTTCTAAGGTTTAATCAATGAACGTCGTTGGTAAATGTTAATGTATTCTTTCCACATGGTCCCTGCAGTTTTGGGTTAAGTCCCATCAGATGCTCGGGGACGTAAGTAAAATAAGGCACCGACCATTTTTTAGTAATTAACAAAGGGAGGACCATTAAAATTTTCTTCAATTCTTATTTCAGCTCTTGACAAACTTGAAAAAACTCTGCCCGTAGACAACGTACTTTGGTATTCAACTGTGATAATCTGTTTTGTCACATAGAACTAAAAACAGGAAGGACTGAAACAAATAGGGCTCTATTAGCTTCACACTTTTTTTTTTTAAAGTAGGCTCCACACCCAGCGTGGAGCCCAGTGTGGAACTTGAACTCACGACCCTGAGATCAAAACCTGTGCTGAGATCAAGAGTCAGGCACTTAACCGACTAAGCCACCCAGGCACACCAGCTCCACCTGTTGGTAGTACTAGTTGTTATTTATTTATTTTTAAAAGATTTTATTTTTATTTATTATTCATGAGTGACACAGAGAGAGAGAGAGAGAGGCAGAGGCACAGGCAGAGGGAGAAGCAGGCTCCCTGCAGGAGCCCGATGCGGGACTCGATCCCAGGACCCCGGGGTCACAACCTGGGCCAAAAGCAGATGCTCAACCCCTGAGCCACCCAGGTACCCCTGGTAGTACTATTTAATATGGAATTCAGACCTACAGATGTACTTTTATTTCTGACAAATTCTTTGTGAATAAATTCACCTATTAGCTGAATCTCAATTAGCTTTCCCCATGCATCTGTGCCATCAATATTTTAGGTCGTTTTCCTCTCAACTTATTTGCCCCAAAGTGTTCATTTACTATTTTGTTAACTAGTCTGTTTTGTGACTTCATAAGCATCTCTCTCTTTGGATTAACAGCATAGTTCCCAACAAAGGCAGATTAATCTGAGATGATAGGCTTATGATTTAACCATATTTTAGATTAGAATTATTTCCATGAGTTTGACACATCCTCTTATCTGTTTACTGATAGTATTATTAAAAAGCACTTTTGTCTTTACTTTAGAAAATGTTGAGGGTTTCCAGGAGGCCGGTAAAAGGTGTGGTTCTGCAATTGTGTGAGGTTGGGAGCTTCTGCTATGGTTAGCACCACCTGCCAGCTGACTCTCTGAACTACACCTGATCTTGTTATAAGAGAATGTTGCTTCTTGATACTTGCACATGTTTAAAATGCTATTATTGGGGCAGCACGGGTGACTCGGCAGTTTAGCGCCGCCTTCAGCCCAGGGTGTGATCCTGGAGACCTGGGATCAAGTCCCGCATCAGGCTCTCTGCATGGAGCCTGCTTCTCCCTCTCCCTCTGCCTGTGTCTCTGCCTCTCTCCCTCTCTGTGTCTCTCGCGAATAAATACATAAAATCTTTTTTAAAAAATGCTATTATTGTGTGTAAAATGAATATTCAGGAGAAGGATGCCAGGATAATTTATTTGATAATTAAAAAAAAGATATTATTTATTCATGAGAGACACGCGGAGAAAGGCAGAGACATAGGCAGAGACAGAAGCAGCCTCCCTACAGGGAGCCCAATGCAGGACTCGACTCCAGGACCCTGGGATCACGCCCTGAGCCGATGACAGACGCTCAACCGCTGAGCCACCAGGGTGCCCTTACTTGGTAATGTTTTGAAGTAAATAAGATATTCAGGCTGAAGAAAAGGAATGAATTTGTTTGGTTTCAAATGTGAGATAATCTTCATTCTGCTTCAGTAGTAACTTAATCTTTTTTTTTTTTTTTTTTACTGTGTTTGGGGAGGTAGAAATCTGTTGAGTTTGCGGACTCCAGGTTTAATACATCTTTTTTAATATGGTGGAAAAGTATCTGCAAAATCTAAGACTATATAAATGTGAAAATAAAGAACTAGTGGACCTGAAGGGGTTTGTGACCCAAACATCAAGTCTCAAAAATTTTTTCAGCCGTTTGCAGTTTTTAGAATGGTATAAAACTAAATTGCAAAATTAAAGTGTGATAATTTAAGTTTGTAAAATTGGAAGTATTGAAATATTAGTTTTCCTTTAATGAAATAAACTTCTAAAGACATCTTAAAATATAAATATTACTTTTACTTATGTAGGAGTAACTATGTTTTGGAGAAACTGATGAATTGATTAAATTACAATTTTCTGACATCTTTTTATTTCTGGAAAAATGTCTTTAATGATACTTTATCAACAATCACACTTTGGCTAAGTATGACAATTGCACTACTAGGTGTTTACCCAAAGGATACAAAAATATTAATTTGAGGGGATACACGAACCCCGATGTGTATACCAGCATTATCTACAATAGCCGAATTATGGAAAGAGCCCAAGTGCCCATGGACTGATGAATGGATAAAAGACATGGTGTATACACACAACAGAATATTGCTCAGCCATAAGGAAGAATGAAATCTTGCCATTTGCCATGACATGCGTGGAACTAGAGAGTATTATGCTATATAATGCAGTCAGAGGAAGACAAGTACTATATGATGTCACTCGTGTGCAATTTAAGAAACAAAATAAATGATCAAAGGGGGAAAAAAAGAGAAAGACAAACCAGAAAACAGACTCTTAACTCTAGAAATAAACTGATGGTTACAAGACGTGAGGTGGGTGGGGGCTGGGGGAACTAGGTGATGGGGATGCACTTGTGATGCGCAGTGGGCGTTGCATGGATGTGCTGAATCACTAAATTCTACACCTGCAACTAATATTGCATTGGACGTTAATTAACTGGAATTTAAATAAAAACAACAACAACAAAAGGCCAAAACTGACACAATGGATGGATGAATGCATAAACTGACGTACATAATAAGAAAAATGAATAAAATCAATTATATTCTACTTGGAATACCTACTCTCATCCGACAGCTGTGACAGTTGTAAAGAAAGCAATGTGTACAGACTTTGTGTATTCGTTGGAAACTTTACTTTAAAAGAAATTAACAGCATAGAGCAGATTAAGTTGGAAGAAAATTTACATCTTCAGCATACCCAACCTCAAGCATGATAAGTCCTAAAGTAAAAATGACACAAATTCATTAGTTTAGAAAGTGCTACATGTGTAGATGCTTTTATTCCATCCCCCCTGCCTTTTGCCCGTGTGTTCTATTTTCAAAATTGTAGGAGCCCAAATACATAATTACTAAATATTTCTGAAGTGATTTTTCTGAGGCAGCCATCCAAATAGCATTCAAGTGTAATTTTGACTGTTGTGAGCTTTTGAATTGGTGGGAAATATGGCTTGATTTTTTTTTTTTTAAATCTATACAAACTTTTCAGCATTAAGTCTCTTGGAGCAAACAGCTCCACTCACTGGTGGAGACCATAACTCTTTCCTTTTTTTTTTTTTTTTTGAGACCATAACTTTCTGTTGGGAGTTTTTGAATCCTAAGACTCTACCATATTTGTGGTCAGAGCATCAGAATGGACTAGACATTGGAGACCTTTATGCTGGGGCTGGGTGTCCCGCTTGCCCTTTGGAATGGTTGGAATGTTAGGGCGTATGGGGGGCTCAGGGGCTGAGCATCTGCCTTGGGCTCAGGGCCGTGACCCCAGGGTCCTGGGATCGAGTCCCGCATTGGGCTCCCCACAGGGAGCCTGCTTCTCCCTCTGCCTGTGTCTCTGCCTCTGTCTCTGGGTCTCTCATGAATAAATAAATAATAACTTTAAAAAAAAGATAGGATTTTGGAAGTGAGGCTGTCTATGCTGCTCATTATACAAAGAAAAAAAAGCGTAGGCAGCGCATCAACATTTATGCTTTGATCAGGTCTCCGTGCTAATTGTTTGCTTAATTAAACCTTGTCTTCTTCAAAGGTGTCACCCCATGAAAGTATCGGATGAGCTTGTTTTCTGGGTATGAAGTACAAGCCTAATGACATTTAAACATCTTTTCACCCTTTTATTTTATTTTTATTTTAATTTTTTTTATATTCAGAATTTTTTATAACAAATTGTACAAAGTATTTATTTTTATTTATTTATTCCCTTTTCATCGAAGCATAGTTAACATACAGTCTAATATTAGTTTCAGGTGGACAGTATAGTGACTTGGCTCTTCCAAAAAATACCCAGTGCTCCTCAAGACAGGTGCTCTCCTTCATCCCCATCACCTGTTTCCCCATCCCCCCTTTCCCACCTACCTCTGGTCCCATCAGTGTGGTTATGACTCTGTTTTCTTGGTTTCTCTTTTTCTCCCCCGTTGCTCATTTTTTTTTAA